TATATATATATGTATCAGACTTGCAATACCAAGGCTTTTATACACTGACCAGAATGTGATTTTCGGCTTACCCTTTTCTCAGACCTTGCTGCACTTTTTCTATAGCTGCATGAGTGACTGTTCGGGGACGGGTAGATTTTGCGGAAAAAGTAGTGATTAATGACTTTTACTCAGCGCACATTATACAGTGCTAGGCTCCAGACCGAAGCTTCAATACTAGGTGTTAGAAAGACGGAAATTGGGGTCGAATTCTTACCCCCTGGTCCTAATTAAAAGCAGTATTATAAAAGCCTAAAGGTTATTCTGTGACAGGGGAAGCCTTTGTTTCTTTTAAAAAACAAATTAGGAAAAAGGAAGACTCAAGTTGTTAATTTGTCGACTTTATCTCTTCGGCCACACTACGAAAACGTTTTTTTTTTCACACCACGTTTAGGGAGAGAAATGGTGAGAATCCGGCAAGTTTTGAGATAAAGATAGCCGTTCCTCAAATAAAAAGCAGTTGGATCCTGGTGCTTATTCATTAAACCGAATGGCCGCGTTGAAAGCAAATAATATTGGGTTAATTAATAAGGAGGATTTAGGGGTGCTCAACTGCAGTTCACCGGGTCATCAATGCTAAAGAAACTTCTAGAAACCTTCACTTCAGCATCCTCTGTTACAAACTGGCCCATTCCACAAGCAGGAATGGCCGAGATTTTACATCCTTTCCGAGTCATCCCGGTTTCCACTCTACATTTGTGTGCATTTTCTCGGGGCGCTACACATAATTCCCCCATCTGGTACAGGAATTCCGACATTCCAGTGGTTGAATGCCTACATAGGCTGCAGGGAACCTTTGTAAATCTACAAGTCGCACCAAACGTTTTCTTAAGAGTAATCACTCTCACTGAATGTTCTGAGGTGGTAAGCAGATCAAGTCCGCCCCATTTGCGCAATATATATATATATATATATCACTGGTATTTCTTTCCCTGATGATAATGAAATCAGTATTTCACAGTTCTGCACCATGAAGTATTTGAATGTCACCGATTTAGCTAGCCTCAGAAGCCCCTATTACCAGAGTCCGAGCATGGGCACTTTACAATTTCAAACTCAGGATGACCCGTATCGCGAAAACGGCTGTTACTCAATGTGTCCTCCAGCACCGGAACTACAGCTTCCTCATTGTACTCCTAGGACCACCTGGAACAAATTAGCTTGACGGTCTGTGGTAAAAAAAATACTTGCATGATCTCCAGCATTCCAAATTGTGTCTGGCAATTTGCCGAAATTTTGGCAGCTCGAACGCGTTAACTGACTGTAGATCAGCTGGCGCTGAGCCTGTCAGCTCGCTTGCGGGTGTTTCTTCACCAATCGCAGTGACATCCTTAGCGCGCACATGGATGAAGCAGACTGTCATGCTCGGTGAAAAGACCAACAGCCACCTGATCTACAACTAAAACGTCTTTACTGACGATGCAACTTTCCATAAACTGCCTCGGATCAACCTGGTTGGATAACCGACCAAAAGGTACTTTCGATGGACAGGCTATTGCGACGGATTCTTGCTGGATAATCAACGTATAAAGCCACTTTTGCACCAGTTCTCGTTCTCCTAGGTCCCAATACGCTTTTTTGTTTTCGTATGGCAGAACCGTAACGTCAGTTTTATAAGGCTTCGGACCTGAAATGACAGTTTATAAGCCATTCCATAGACTACGTTTCTTTCCAGTTTTTCTTCTCGGTTAAGCGGTGTCTCTCCATAGAATGAAATTTAACCATATACTTTTGATTATTGTACAAAATGTCTCTTTATGCACTCGCATCATGTTTCAGACAGGGTTTGGAAGAAAAAAACAATAGTTTTGACTCCGAGGAAAAACCTGATGATAAATGATACGTCAATAATGTCTAGTAATTCAGTTCAATATTTTTAACACGTTGAATTAGTAGGCAATCACTGGATGGGCAAAACCTGAAAAGTAATAATTGCATGATGCCCGCTCTCACTGCCTACACTCCAGTGGCGTATGAATGTGATGAAAACGATTTCACAGAGCCCAACGGTGTGTGCACTTTACTAGCTCTCAAAGTAAGAAACCTTGCTGAAGCCATTCCTGCCTACAGACGTTTCCGAGAAATAGCTCTCACTAATTGAATCCTTCTAATTTGTCCACTCAGTTGTATCGCTTTGATACGAAAAATGAATTATTGCTGTCCACTTCTAAATGGCTTCACTGTATCAGTGGTGTTTAGTGGAAACTTGGCATATTCTAAATCCTCGAATCTGGGTTGCGACACCAACCTGACCTCGACAGTTTGTCTGACTAATCAAAATACAAATTCATGTATCCGTTCACTTACCGTTAAAGTGATATATTTATCGGTTATTAGGATCGGTACTTTTTTAGTTAACTTCTGGAGGTTCGTCACAACAGTCAGTATGGGTCTGCATGAGATCAACCAAACCCAGTAGCTTGTGACATACGACTGGTTGCTTCTCCTTAGCACTCTGAGTATCCGATACGGTTCACGATATCAACCTTTCTTATGCTCTTTCACAGTCTCATGTAAGGGTATTCCTTAACCCTTAGTACCGGTGCAAAGTAGTGACAAAAACTGTGCCAATAAGCGATATTAGTTCATGCCACTTGACCACTTTTGACCGACCCTCTCAGCCTCCCTTCCTCACCTGTGACTAGTTTAAATCTCCCTCTTTATTTTTGCCACGTTTTCAACCGATATGTTTGAATAGTTTTGCGCGTGCGACAGGTGAAACCGAATGAACTTTTAGTGCTCCGTAGCCCACTTATCCCCCAAAAGAAAACAATTATCACTGGTGGACTCGACTAGGGTATTGTACTTGTGTAAATAGTTCAGCATAATTAATATTACAAAAGGCTTCATGTCAAGTTCAAATGCCTGTAAGAAAGCATTGATCCTTGGACATCCTCGTGATATTTAACACGGGGGTTTAAACAGCAGAAATGATTCCTTCAGTGTTCTCAACTAACTTTGAATGGTTCATTCTTCACGAATGGTGCCACTGAGAAAGTTGAAGCGTCGATGGGGTGGGATATTGATGGGGCGTAGACGCTCGCTGAAGAGAAAGTAGGCATAAGTTGAATGTTTCACTGAATGTAATATAACTTATGTGCTAGGTACTGTCCCATTATAGCTGGCTGAATAACTAGCATTGAGAAATGAGGCTGAAGATGACTATACTGAAACAACAATGATTTTTGTAACAGTAGCCATTTTTACCCGGTAGACCACACTGATCATCAATGGGCTGAAACATATGACAGCCGTGGCCAGTTAGGACATTATTCGGGCCTATCACACAGGCGTAGTCCTCGAGTTTCCACTAGTCTACCCATCTTCATACGTTGCGCTCCCGTTAGGAGGCCCGAAGCCAATTGCTGCGAGGACAAACTACTTAAACCCAATTAGTACACAAATGAAAATGACTGAATTGCCGGTCGAATGTGGCTTAGGTTGTCGTTGCTGAGTGCTGACCAGCCACACTTCCCAGTGGAAGATAAATGAAACATGTGATATGTGACTGTGGAAGTTTCAGCATAGTCTCAGCATAGCCGGACGTGTTACGGCTTTAGCGATGCCACTGTACGGCCAGGTAGGCAATAAACATTAGTCGGTGTATGGACGTTGGAAATTCCATTCAATCGTTCAATTATAATAGTTTCCTTCTCATTCGAAGTTAACTAGCATATCAAATGATCACAGTAATTTTGGGGTTCTCCACAACGCACAAAAAGGGAGATCTGGGATTCATTTTTGTCTGGTCTGCTCCATTATTTGGATGAGGCTCGCTGATCCTCAATCAGGATACCAGTCCTTTTCGTCAAAGCAGGCTACAATTCTACAGGCCTGACAGAGCGTGTACAAGACACTTCGTAGACCAACTTGTTTCTGAAACAGCATCATACTCCACACATGGTAAAAACTCAATTTGGAAATTAGCTTGCATCAACGTAAGAGTTGGTCAGGTCGCTCCGATACGACCTCTTCCAGCTAAAAAATATACAATAGGCTTACTTTGCGCCAGAATAAACTACTATTCTCTGGCGTTACAAACAAACTTGCTTATCGCTGGTCTTTGTTGTTTAAAAAATGTAGGACACCCGGTCGATTACTGAAGTTTTGCATCCAAATACGAGGCTTTGCTATCATATCTCGTTTACAAAACTGCAGATTAGGTTAAATTATACAAACACCTGCTGCAGCCTCATAATGGGACGGTGCCACAAAGCCTTACGTTATACCTCTAAATTATCTTTAACAGTGTTATTGTGTACACGCGTCATATAAGGTTCCTTATACAGTAACATGCACTCAGTTAGAGAAATGATATACCAGTTGTTGTTTTTAAAAGAAAAAAAACCTTTCTCAATGTGTATGCCACGTGAAATGTAGCCTCACCTAATCTTCTGTGTTTCCTTTAGATCAGGACGGGCGGGTGTTTGTGAGTCGAACGCTGACATTGCTCCCCAGATACACCGAGAGTCATCGTAGCGTTGTACGTCATACCGTCCTGGACCCACGGGATGCTGTCAAAAAAGTGGTTTTGTTAACTCCAATTATCATAAACGAAGTATGGCATCCAATTGGATAGGTATAATGGGGGCTGAAGCCTCGAACCGGTAGTTTTTACCAAGTGAATGAGACACAGCTATGGAAAGTAAGATGCTTACCGGGTGGTGTGTAAAAATACTCCCAGCTGAACGTGACGATCGACTGAGGAATGGGACATTTTGACAACTGGCCTCTTTCTTTTTCGGTAGAACGGGGTCATATTTTCCGGGACCAAGCTGGAAAGAAGTCAGTGTGTTATACAAAATCTTTCTAAAAAGGCCACTTCGGGTTTGTACTATGAACATATCACAAAATGTCGCCATAAAATATAATAAGCTTCAAGGATGACATTTCTTGTCAACCACTATTCAGGAAACAGGCGATAGACAAATCTATGACTACTAGCCTTTCTCTTAAACCTGACAACCCTCACTAAGATATCAAGTCTGTCTTTGAAGCTGTAAATATTTGACTGTCGGCTTTCATGTACAGATCAGTTACGTCTGAATTCCCCCCATGTCCTCTTGGCACAAGTATTGTGGGGGATCCGGGCCAACGAAGCGCATGCCAGATGACCCCATTCAATCTATTTTGATGGTGAACACCAGTACGAACAAGACTCGAGTGATGCACTTCCCCGTTCGGTCTGGACTGAAAGAATTAATCGCGCTGGGCTAGGAGGAGGATTGTTCATACAAGTTTGACCGCATCTTCTACAAATCTAACCATGGCTTATCAGGACTATCAGAAATTATCTAGTAAATCCAAATACTTGTGGCGTTGCCTGACCGGCAGATCTAACACTCAGCTTATCGATTGACACAGTGAAGAAAATCAGTAGATCGCCGTTTGAGTTGTCCAGGAGGAGCACACAAATTTCTCTAGCATGAAATTGCTTACATGTCAGTTTAGTAATACGCTTATCCCACATGTCAGATGAAACACCCTCAAATCCCAATATGTTCGCCAGTGCTTATGGGTTCCTGTAAGCTCGTGACTCGAGTCCAATACTTTTACACTTCCAGGGAGATTGACCAGAATAATCGTGACGAGATAATAAGAGGAGGGTCAGAATGAAAACGACATGGTTGTCAACCCAGCCCATCCTTTTGCAAAAAGACAAGGTGTGCGCCTAATTTCTCATTCCAACTCTACAGACAATGGATACAACCCCATAGATGGAGACCCAGTGGACCAGCCTTCTTAGACTCATGGTAGTAATTGACCTTACCTGGAAAGTGTGCATATCAAACTTGGAAACTCTCGTACCTGTGCGGATGTTCCGACGGCGGGAGCATAAATTTTCCCAAGCTGCAGCTGATTACTAATTCTTCGAAATTTTCCTGCATGGGAGTGTTCTGGTCTATTCCACTTGTCCAAGAACGACTTGATTTCGTACGCTCCGGGATCAGGTGTATCGGATGTCTAGGTCAGAGTGTCAAATGATAAATAATTAGCGACCAGCTCCCTCAATCTTCCATACAGCTCTTACCATAGTAAATCACGACTACGACCAGTACGTGAAGCCAGTTTACCCAAAAAAAAGCTGGGAAACACTGGATAGCTGTTTCATTCTTGCTAAGAATCGGCAGTATTGCGTATCTTACTAGTCACCAGAGCAATTCGAATTGGTGGCCTCTCGGATGGCATTTGAATCAAAGCATTCAGCCATGGTGAGTTTTCTGAAAAGAGATAGTGAGCAGTGGAAACAGTAACTTGATCGACTTGATGTGGTATGCGTCCTGGGGGGGGGGTTAGTGCAACAGAATGCAACCAGTGTTGTTATCAAACGAAGAAACTTGTCTTCTTTTTATTGACAGAGTTCAGTGGGGACCAACAGTCAGCACAGAAGTCGCTATTTGGCAGAATCCGGACCGCTAAATATTCGCTGTCGTTGGTAAACCTCCTACAGTCTACTAAGAAAAACAAAGGCTTGACTTCATTTTGCTTCCAAACCAGACCAGTAGAATCTACGTATTCCAGTGGGAAATGGGGTGGCAGGTACAACCCTTCATCCTCTCAACTCATTGCCCAGCACGGTAAAGTGGTTGCGATCAGTGCACCGGAAATACTGTTTGTAAAATGTACATAGTAATCGGATTAAACTAGTCATTCCCTGATCCACCCTTATTCCCACTCATGTGGGACGACGGATCATCCATGTTGTCAATTTCTATCCAGATTGTCTGACTGAGTGCTCGGGGCGTAGGCAACTCGGATGCATTTTGTAGACTAGTCCTATGTCCCTCTCCCTCCATTCTTTCTTTCCTTCTTTCGTAATGGTTCTTTGTTCAAGTAGATTGACGTGGTTGTACGGCAGTGAAGCACCAGTGTTCTTATCTGCTGTGACTATCAATGGTGATTAGGGAGAGAAGGTTGGTTGAATTGCTTGTCAGCTGCAATGGTTTGCCGTCTGTGCCCCCTCATCCATAACCGCGATCACCATTATCAGTGCATTCCTCTTATAATAGTACTTTTCAATCACCGTCCTCAAAAACGGCAACATCAGGGTCAGTCACCAGTGACTTTGCAAAGGCCAAAACGTCCTCACAAAACAAACTGTTGCCTCCAACGTATGCTGACAAAATTCTGACCAGATAATAAAAAATAAATAGTCGTCCAGTAGTAGCATCCTTTTGGTGCCTAGCTGACATGCCAGCCGAAGGAAACACTAGATACTGCCAGGCTGCAGTTGAGCTGCTGAGCTTTGGTTCGAGCTACCAACCTTCCGGTCAGTAGATTCACACCGTAACCACTGATATAAATTGTTGGCACAATTTTTTCGTAGATGAGCCATCATGAGCTTGCAAAATTTCACTAGCAAGCCAACTAAGTAGGTACGTAGATTGAAGAAAAAATTGCGGAAATTTGTGAAGAGAAACGCAGAACTGTCCCATACCTGACTGAGGCTTCTCACTCACATCCTATATGGCCTGCATCCTCAGTGTGTTAGGAGATGGCAGAAAACAACATGCTCAGAGATAAGTTACCCACAAAACTATCCAACTCAGTCTCATCAGGTAGGCGCAGTCCCCGGGTTTCCGTCAACCTCATGCTCTACTTGAAACCAAATTGCAAGAAATAAGCGAAATACAGTCATTTGCAAACAACTTTGGTTTTGCGAGAGACTCACCTGGAACCCAGCTGAATCGCTCGTTTGTGATGTTTGTGATGCCTGTTTTGTGATGCCTGGTGCAGCACATTCAGCTGCCTGGAAACATCAAAACCGAGAGATTCAGCTGAGTTCCAGGTGAGTCCCTTGAAAAACCAAATTAGTTTACAAATGAGTGTATTTCGCTATCCACCTGAGCCTTTTAATGACCTGCGCAAATGTTTTGTTTCACTATGCTGAAAAAGTTGCTCTTTGGATCCCGGTCATGATTTTAAGACTTAACGAAACGAATGAGTGATAAGAGGGTGACCTATCATGATTAAACTACATTACATTATATTACATATATATGTATATATATATATGTATATATATATATATGTGCTATATTATACATATATATGCATGTGTTTGGAAAAGGAGGCCGTTTGTTCGGAAAATGAAGGAAGTGACGGATAATGCTAGTTTCTTCACAAACAAATCATGGTGTTCATTGTCGTGTCTCCATGCTTGTCTTAGCTGGTGACTGTTAGCAGGCCTCGGTGTGTTTACTGGTTCGCCATATCCCCTGAGGTTCTGACTGACCTCTATGATCTTCACATGGTGCCACAAGCGGGCGCGAATCCGATGACTGTGGTTTACGAACTTTGCATATTTATCCAGTACTGACCAATGGATCTGTCCGGGGTGTTAGTCAGTAACGCATAGGTGTGCACTGAGTAGATATGCGCAGTTTTACTCACCAATTGCTTGTATCTTGGGCCTGTGAACAGATCGTATGGTCCGCGAATCCCCGTCTGTTTATTCAATGTTTCATTCAAGTATTCTTTGTGCTTATACGTCCCTGGGCCAAGAGCACATATCTATTCGAAAAAACAATAAGTGGGGAGTTCGAACTCGTTAGACGTACAGCGGTTGGAAGGGAACGTTCGCCCGAAGTGTTAGAGGACATCATTCCCACTGAAGAGGCAGATTTACGAAGACGGTCCATTGATTCTTTGTAGATGTAAGGGTTACCACCAATTCCATAGGTTCCCACCCCCGGATTTTCCTTAAAACGATCGATGCTTTTTGTAGACCAAGAAAAGACACTTACCACTTGCGATTCAGAAAATCGTTTGGCTAGAGTATCGATCGGGCCCCGTTTTGTAAAGGAATGCTTTTTTAAGAAGTCCAACCCCGGCAGGCTCAATTCAGGCTTGGTTGCCTCAACCTAGGGTGTTTAAATAAGGTGACAACAAGTTAGCAGTTACTGAAATGTGCAAGGAAAAAAGGAAGATAATGATTTAGCTAGAGGCTAGTCACTGCAACAGTAATACTTTTAAAGAGCTGAGCGGCAAAGTGTGCAAAATTACGGACATCGAAGTCCATTCTGTCATTCGTTACTTGTTCTCCATATTTTGATTATGGCTGACCAACTAGAAAAGCCGGTTTCACTTAAAGCCATGTGACAGTATAAATCACAGTAATATTTGGCATATTATGTATATAGAGGTAGAGAGATGGGTCTACTGATCTACGAAAGAATATAATGTAATATTGTTGTGGCAGAAACGAAACCCTTAAATGTAAAAACCCTTTAAAAGCTATAAAACATGACGCCTTCCTTCTTGCCACATGGAGCCTATTGGTCTTTGTGTTACAGACAACTGATCTGCTCATTCGTTAGAACGCTTTTAGCTCACCTCGGGAATATCTCCCTCAATGGAAACACTCATTTGGACAGAGGAATACTTTTCGGCATTCCGTTATCTGCTGACGACTTAAAGACGAAGGGCTAAAAAGAATCCCTTTGCTCAAACGCGTGTTTTCAATCCACCTGTTGATACATTTCAGTTGCTCATCTTGAATCGTCATCATCATCATTGTCAGCTGTAATAACCGCGTACTTGTGGTGCAGTGGTTTTAGCTGCCGCAGTTTCGTTCACCGATGATTTGGAGGGAGGGGTAGGTAGCTGCGCATTGCACCCGCGAGCTGGTAAATTGGTGCATAAATCCAGCACTGTCAGTGGGCTGTCAAGTGAGGGGAGTTGGAAAAGGAGCATTGAAGGCATTGCATTGAAGGCAATAGCTATGATGCACGAGCGCCATTGGGGGCGCGACTGGGCCATGTCTGATAATGTCTCTAGCCATTGATGTGGCCCGTCTCGGGGTCCCCATCCAGGAAGACGGCAGTGACCAGCGCAGCTGAGTTTGCTGGTAATGGCTTTCATACATCGCTGCCAAGTCATTGTTTGACCGCCTCTGACTCTCTTCCACCTTTCACGTGGTGCTGAGAAAAGAGCCCTTCGGGGAAGTCGGTCGACTGGCATACGCAGCACGTGGCCAAGCCAGCGCAACATATGCAGTGTGATCAGTTCATCTATCGAGGGTGAGTTATTCCTCCCGAATACCATTCGACGTACTTCCTGAATGGTCACTTTATTACCGTTCTTACACAAAGTACTGTAGCGATCACAATCTTTCCTAAGTTTCTGGTCGATTGTCATTTCAAACAGAGCACTACAACACGCTGAGTTATGAATCACACTCAAACGTAATGGAGTCTAGGTCTCAAGTCACTTAGTTACTTTTTCAAATCAAAGTATGTGATTTTGTTCATCTCTGAATAAAACAATGGCTCTGAAGTTTATAAACCAATTTTTAGGGAATGCCTTGTGTGCTACTGAATTTGTGTTGCTTGACTGAATAAATCACACAAAAGGTCGAAAACTAGGTGCTTTCTTGAAAGGATTCAATAATCGGCATTGTACAAAAGATGAAGGATAAACTGAGGAAATGATTTTTATATTCGAGACTTACATAATCAATCGCTTGATACGACTAGTTGTAAAGTTTACACAGAGAAAGTCTACTTGCATGAATTTATATATACAGTAGAATGAAAATGCTCCCGTGTCATATACAGGCAGCTACTCACCACCTTGTCAGCATATTTTGTAATATTCAGCTTAATGAAGTCCTCGTGTGGACTGCTCTTATGTGTTTTATTGACGGAATAAACAGTACGTAAGTTTGTTGTCCTTCTCATGAATCGTCAGATGGGCGCAGTCCTTGACTTTCTGTCAACTCTGAAGTTGCATCCAATTGGCACCCAGTTGTAAATTAAGTAGGCAGCAAGGGAGAACTCAACTAAAACCCAACTCAATCGCTAGTTCATGACATTCTTTAGCTGAAAGTTTTGCACAAAGGTCACCTTGATGCCTCAAAACATCGAGGAATATCTTAAACTAGAGATTCAGCTGGGATTCGTCGAGGTGAGTGCGGTTTGCAAACTTTGTAGGTCCGAGTAGACGGTTCATGTTAACGGATATTCAGGGACTGCACCTATCTGATAAGCCTTAAGGACAAAGCTGATACTGGATTTCTCAGAGAATTTCAGCAGCACTGAAATTTTTCTCAAATATCATGCAACTAGAGCGTGAGGCGGTTTCTGTGCAATCCGTTTGGTCAAAAAATAGTGCTAACGAGAGACTCAGCTGGGATTGAAGTGAGTCTCCCGTTAAAGCTAAGTTAGTTCGTGTGTGTGTGTTTATTCATCGATGTTGAAATCTGAAAGTCTATTATGCCTAAAAGCCTTGTGATTATCACTTGTGTAACTCTTTTAAATGATGACGAATGGTTTCGTCGGGGCAAAACTAAATTACTCCCTTGTCACTAAGGGAAGCTCAAAGGGAAGTCAAACACCCTATTTGGCGTCCATCTTTTCAGTAAAATTCTAAATTCTGTCCTCAGTAAACAATGTGGGAGGATTTTGCAGTATTCAAAGTAGAATTTTGTTCACAGTTAGTTTATGAACGTGAATTCGGCAAACAGTGAATATCACGCTTATTGAACTAATTTCATGAAACAAACCAAAGGATGTTATTGGAGTTTTCCAGCTCCATTTGCCTGTTTTTATGTGGTAAACATCCTGAAGTTCTGTGTACACAAAGGTGTTTTCCACAGAAGTTGAATGCAGCAAATGACCATAGTTTAGAAAAAAACGAGCGTTGATACAAACTGTTATAAGGCCGCTTTTTTGCAGATATGCGATTTTTTGACAAGAACAATTATCAAGTAATAAGTGACTATATCAATGGTAATTCGGTTATCTTAACTGAGAAGCTGTTGTTACCATTTCAGTGGGAGTCTGTTTGATTCTGAATGCTTTTACAAGATCCGCTTGCTTTTGCAGGTGGTAATGTCGCTTCCATAATGAAGTGAATGCATTTGCACTTTTAGCTCTTTGAGTGAGTTCAGCGTTGTAATATCCGGGTCCCAAATTAGGAGAGGAGTTGACAGGTCGCCACTTCGGGTGTAAACCTTGGTAGCCAAATCTTTGGGCTGTTGAACCAAATGGAGCGTTGTCTGAGTTCTTTAGAACCATGGCATTCATTTGGTTTCATTGACGTGCGTTTTTTTTCAAGTTATTCTCCGAGTGGGTGGATAAAACGTCTGCAAACACAATGAAGCAAACTTAGGCTTATTATGACAACCAAGCTCTGTGGTCTGGGAGAGGTATAAATCACAGACAGAATTTCTCTGTAGGGGAAATATTTTCAGATAAAAAATCGATATCCTCAAGGAAACTTTGAAGTACATAAGGGTTGCTTCTATCCATAGCAATTAACGCATACTACGGGATCATGTGTATTTTTCAAGAATTAAGCTAGAGTATTCATGATAACAGATAGTCAGGCGTGCCACATGGCCCTTTAGTGGTCCTGCAGCACACTGTGTGGATAACGAGGTCTCCATCCTCAGAGGCGAGTCGCACTCTTAGCGCATAAATTTTTCCTAATCGCTCTCATACCTATCTGCTAAGCCATAGCCTGACTACTTCTCTGCTTCCGCCACTCAAAATGGGGGACGAAAAGCAGCGTTTCCTGCCCAAAAATGGTTTAGTATGCGCAATATATAGCCTAACGAACACAGTTTTTGGTTCTGGGCACATTCTTTAATGGAAGGTCTTTGCTGTTTACCCGAACACTCGCATTTCAATTGCCTCGGCAGTGATGTCCCAACGCCAAACCTCACCAGCCACAGTTTCGAGATAACGTGCTAAAGATCTGAAGACGCCTCAGTTTCGCTGCCAGAAGAGGTCCAGTCTCACACCGACACACGCACGTAGTCCGAAGAGCACGTTTTTTGAGATTAATTGATATACGACTTTGACGCTATAGATGTCTGAAGTTAACGATCGGAACCAGAACTATGTTGCGCATGAGTCCACCGAGTATTTGGCCGCTTTTTTCAGGGCCTTTTATAAGAGCCAGACTGCCATGTAGTTCATAGGTACAGTTTGATCATGTCAGTGCTGGAATAGTTGGGAACCCACGGTATCCTGCAGCTTCTTTTAAGCTGAGAATGTCTGAGAATGTCTGCCGTCAACAATATTGCGGTAGTTTTTGGCTTCTTAAAAGCTAACTGGCTGGTATGGTGTAAGTTTAACTCCTTGTTTTAGACAATTTGAATAAAGATGAATTAATAAACAAGGGTGGCGGCTGGACAGGCTGCTTTGTTTACATTAGAATTAGGATTTCATCACACAAACAGACTCAACTGTGATTCTGTGATAAAGGTGTCTTTTTAACACACGTAAGGAAGTTAGCCTGGTTTTGATCACTTTTGCTAGCATAATGCTGCTAAGTTGCATCACACTCACGACTATCAGGCAACTTGGAAATGAGACTGCAAATAGAGTAACTAAGGTGTTTTCCATGCTTCGTCGTTTTGCTTTGCTTTGTAATTGTTGCTTCGACTCTTATTTCAACAGGAGGATTTTTATCTCGTAGATTTGTATCCCACCAGTTTTGCATCTCAACTATCTGATTGATTCATATTTCTAAAGTTTTTTTGCGTTTACTCCGGAATGCCTGCAAAATTCGAGCTTTATGGCTTTTTGAGTATATTTTGGCATTTGTTTACACTTGAGCTCTGCTAAAAATAAGAACACTTGTAACTACGAAGTCCAGAATACTGCGCTGGTAAGGGTAGCGAGACTTTCTGGTTAGAGCTCCACGGTACTAACTTCTGGGCGTTGTTAGATTGGAGGAAAGTTTCTTGTGCAAGTACGACAGTGGCTTTTAGCATGATTGTCTGTATAAGTCATGCTTCAGAAGTCTAAAACTGCGCAATTACCAGAGCCAAGCGGATTCGGTGAGAAACGAATGTAATCGTGGACTTCTCATTACTCACACACTGATCTATTATGGATTGTGTGGTAGCACCACCTGCGTAGATTAAGTAACTTCTGTGGTTGAACTTGATGGTTGTTGACCAAAATTTTGCTGTTGTTTAACCAAGTTATTCGTACCCAAAGACCGATCCTGGAAGAAAAGGAATTTTGAAATTTCTTCTGGGCCCTTCTAGGCATATCGCATACTAGATTGACACCAGGGTTCCTTTTGCCAGAATGCCATGCTAGCTAACTGGTGGTGAAGATCAATACATTTTACCGCGTAGATAGTTTTTAGCCCAAGAGGTCGTAATCTCGCTTACCTTGCTAAATGATCTACGTTACGGGTAGGTGGATTTTGGAATTCAAGAACAGAGGTTGGTGTGAGCTATTTGATCCTCATGCGCTGGTTTCTTAGTTTTCTTTGTTTACTTTGTAACTTACGGTAATCGGTGTTTCAGCAGGCTAAGTTGTTGAATATAAAAAGTCCAGAGTGCTTGGTGCACCAGATACGGTTGAATTTAGCTGTATCGAGGCCGAAAACTAGCAATGTTTTGGATCATGGTAGGTATTTGGGTCGCATGTTGGTCATTTCATAGAGATAAGACTTAAAAATCATTGATTTAATATGGCTCCTAAAACCGCATATAAGATAATACAGGGTAGAGCCATGGTTCAAGGTAGTAGGTTTATTGGTGCACAAGTCGCTATATTGGTTGATAACAGGCCAGATTTGCATACCCATGGTCCAGTTATTGCGCAATTTTCAAATGATGAAAGGCCTGAATCTTTCTAGTTAAGCGCGTGATTGGTTTGTAATACCATGTACTTTCACAAATTAAGTATATTCTATATGTTCAATAGCGGCAGTGTCGTATGAAGTAAGAGAGCACCTGGATTTATTTTAGGCACTTAAGTCTATGTGAGTAAAGAGTGAGTGTCTTCAAAAGCCATGGTCAGTTTTCGCCAGGAGTCAACAGAAAACTTGAGAGTCATGGACGTTTTTCGAATATTCCTTGAGTTACTGGTGGTGTTACTATTTCCCTCCAAAGCAATTCTGAGCCCGAAATTTGTTGTACAGAGCGAAACTTTTGTGTAAGCTTTGTTTCGGTTTATGACCTGCTACTGGATGGCTGTGCTGAAGCCCTTTTCGGCTTCCTTTGCGGAGGCCCTTTCGGCCACATTGGTTTTGATGCCGTATATAAATGATAGAGTAAAACGTGTTTGTCTTATGACTCCTACAGAAGCATATGTTGACTAGATTATAGAAAGAATGGAAAAAAGTTTCAGCCGTAACATACCTCTGTTGTCTGTCTGCCATGCCATCCAAAAGAATGAGTGCTAATTCAATGCTCAGCTGCTAAAATCTCCGGTAGGAGAAGTTGAGATGCCGGAGTTGATTCCAAACCACTGATAATCATTAGTAAGTCTGCTTCTAAACCACTAAACTGTCTCGGGTGGATGGATCAGTCTTTTGAGACAGACAAGGTTATAAGAGACGCGAGGTTCCACCTTTTTGGGCATGTGTGAATTATTGATGGTCAGTTTATTGAGTTCAATTTCCTCCCTGTTGAGTTTCTGACTCACTGGAGTTCTAACTTTAACTACACCGGGTTTTGAAAATCGAAGAAAAATCTCCATCATCTTCATTACCTTCCACCTCATATCGAAAGGCTGCGTGTTAGTCTTGGCATCTGAGTCTGATCGTGATTTTGGCTAACATAGCACGGCGAGATAATTTTTTGCTTGCCTCTTTGAAAAAGTTGCTATGCCTCAAGCAAACTTATACGGTGGAAATTATTTACTTTCCGTACCTGCTGTTCTTAAGCTTTGACAGATATGCGACACGCCGACTATCCACGAGGCATTCATTCCGTAAGCTCGTCCAGTGGTTTGAATGTAACTACTGTTTAGGGTCTCTGAGCGGTGTGAATTAATCTACCGTGTGGTGTTCTTGTTTTATAGCCCACAATTACAACGTTTGATGCGGGCGTTTGAATGGCAGTTCTGTATTCAGACTACCAAATGGGCACTAAGTATTTTGGTTGTACTTATTAATTAGATCAATTTAATTGGACCTGTTTAGTTGAATTCGTTTCTCAGCTTGTGCCAAGAAACCTGTTGGAATTACTTTGCAACTCTAGTTTGTGCACAACAACCTTCCTCTGTAGCTTCATGTTTACCACGAGTATCACGTAAGTTCACCGCAAGAAGCCTGAAGACGAGTCTACGTTCAATGTAGACGGTCCGAGCACGAAAGTAGCCCCTAGTAGTATGGCACTAATGGCTTATTTTGTTTTCTAATCTTAGTCTCCGTTTTTTGACAAAGAAAACTGTCCACATATGTAGGGATCTATGGACTCAAACCTGTTGGGCTGCATGAAACGATGTAGTATGTTCATCCCGTTTAGAGATCTCACTGTAGTCAGAAAGTATCAGGTGAATTGCCTTGTAGCGCTTCCTCATTTCATGGTCTTTGTCAGCTTCCGGAAGTTTCGTAACGCAGAACCTTCTACCCGGGAGCCAGTTTTGAGCCGCACTGAGTATACCAGGTGAGCGCATAGTCTCAACAAGTTCTCTTTGAAAATTTTTGTTACAGCCATAAGGACTACGCGCAAAAGGCAGATGCATCTTCTGTAGTCGTACTACCTACAGTTTTGACCTTTTAAAGATAGTTTGATTATCTCTCTACCTCAGTATGTGGAGAGGTGTGTCATAGGTGTTGCAGTGATGGAGGATAGGTCTTTGCGCAGCTTTTCTCTTCCAATCTTACCGTTTTAGAGCTATCAGCAATTTGTAGTTACTTCTTCACCTCCATGGAGCCGAAGATTGTCTTACATAAGGAGTCACCCATTGGAGATTTCGGTAGTGGGCCGCTCATATGCACCCCAATGTTGGTTTGCGTAGGATATGTTGTAGAATGGTGTTGCGCAAACATTTTGGCCAGCTCCTGGCCACCGGTGATGACTACAAATTCTATGTCGTTGCGTCTTGTCTTTTCTTCTGCGATTGATGTGCGCAAAGATTCCCTTCGGCGCGTCTTCCACGATGGTTCAAGTCGTCCCTCCTATGCTCGCCTCTTGTCGCCTATCACTCGCTTTCTGGTAATCCCAGCAGCATTATATTCACCACGGCCCTTGAGGCCTTCGCCCTAATTGAATTGCTACGTAGTACAATATTTTTGCTTCGCTCCTTTTATGTTTAAACGATTTTGTGTAACCAAAGAGACTTAAGGGAGCCAAATTCACTTCAAATTTTTTTCCGTTTCTTCAGAGGCCATTCCGCTGTTTTTCGGCTTTTAAGCACAACAAGTTGGTGAATACAACGTTCACCGTCTTTGAAAGTCTACTGGAGAAGTTTCTATTTGGCTTGCAAATATACCACATCACTTGTTCTGCTAGATACTCCTGGAACCAAACTGCTCGCGAGAAGGAGTGCTGGTTCTATCCGTATTTCGAACGATCGATGCAGGGAGAGGTGAAAGTCACATAGTGGCTACCTGGCTATGGTTTTATTACTTGTTGAGCTCAATAAGTGTACATAATAGTATGTACACACCATCACACTCGTACTACCTGAAATACCTTGTACTTCCCTAACAGCATGCGTGGATACGACAAGTTTTTCTGTGCCGCCTACGATGACCCACAGTCTGTCGTGCTCTCTCAGCACTTTTCGATTGAGTGTTTCGTTAGCTGCAACTGAAACTGGTTATCCAGGAGACACGGTAACAGGCAAGCCTCCCAATAACAGATTCTGATTGAGCATGTCTGTATATGATCGAGAGTTAGACATTATTATTGGTTAATGGCTTATTCCCTGTATAGTGATCCAAAAAATGTTCTTACAAGATGTCTGCACTAACCAAATTACCGCCCACTGGTCGTTAACGTCCATCAAGGTCAACTCGGTCAACCGTTTACGGTCAGTTTCGAAACTGAATTTTTGGTAAATCACTCAGGCATAACATACAGAATGGTTATCTAATGGTGGCTTATCTACTTGGTTTACATAAAAAACCAAGTGCGTGAGCGCCCAATATTCGCACAATGAGGTTGAATTTTTGAAAGCTGTGACGTGTTCCTGATAGACCAAAGCAATCGGGCTATTGTGTTCAGAGTTCGAGTCCAAACTCCTGGTCCTATAGTGCGCACCAGTGGACGCATGGAACTTAAAGGAGGCCATTATCCGATGCAAAGCAATGCTTCGACTACCCCAAGTTCAGATTTATTCCTCTATCATAGCACTACTTAAAAAACCCTACCCGAAGATTTCGGTAGCACCACTCCCTAGGCTGCATAGCTCTAGCACTATAAGTCAATCCGTGGGACATCCCCTTAGTTAGTAGTCAGTAGTTTACTTCTTTTAAGACAGAGACACTCCGAATATGAGCAATATTCCACGTGCCCAGTCTTTTGCGCTTTTCGGACTCCCTGCAGATCCAGTGAAAATGTAACCTGAATCCGGTCAGCAGGACCATCGTACCACTATTACTTAACCTCAACAAACTCATGCCCCCACGTTTGTTCATGATCTGCATCGTCTCTTAGTACACCGTTATATCGCGCCATCTGTTTTTCATCCACACTTTGCCTCATAAAAATAGTCTCCAAATTACTCAGAAGCAAACGCGAATCCCAACCCATCCTGTTCACTAAAGCCGGGCTTACATAAGATTTGAACGCCTGTAAATTTGCCCATCTTTGGTGTTTCGGAAAGCACTTTGGAGGCCTTATACGCTCTCCATACACTCTGCACCCGTTTCGTTCCCAACATTGTTGCCCATTAGCTGGCTGACGTCAACCCATAGTCTGGGAAATGGTGACAGATAACTTTTGGGGCTTTTAGGTCACTCCCAATCAGCCGCGCCATAAAATGACGCAATGACTTCCAGCTCTTCCCTTGTTCCATTCGCCCCATACTCCCAACTTCCGAAGATTTATTTTACCCCAGCAATCATTCGGTGCAACATTATTGCTTCTACCTTCAGTTCCGACTGCTACCCCTGCAGTTCGTCGTCTCCGCTAGAAAATAACAACACATTTCCCTCAAGTGCAGTTGTTTTTAGGTGCTGCACCCCGGTCTTCACCTGGCTGAAGAGCAGTAGTGCTTGATGAAATGGCAGCCCTCAACCACCTGGACCGGGCGGCCACGTGGCGCATTATTGGATCGGGCTGTTCTTTTGGCAGATTATTACCCTCCCGCCCTTCAAAGGATCCTCTGCATCAGAGTGGCCGCAGCAGCATCACTCGTTCGAGTTTCTATAACTATGGTAGTGTTGATCTTCAGCGCCGAGGAAGTAGAGCGAGTGTTATCTTCGCGTCCCCTAAGGGGTGTCACCCGTCTATCGTCCAAGGCTCCGCAGTCTTGGCAAAATGCCTCCCTGCTTAATTACGCGACATCCTCAAACGACAGATTTCGTTCTGGGCCTAATATGGTCATGTCCTATGTGTGATGAAATATGCCTGCTATTTGGATATTCATCAACTTCTTTTACCACTGACTGCGAATGAAGTGCCGGACGTCGTCGCTGGCAGGTGCGCGTGCTTCTCCGAAATTACTCTTCCAACTTCATTATGCGTCAGTTGAAAATCAAAACTTCTATCCCGAGCTCACTTAAGCAACCCGACTGTCTCGAACACTAAGGGCGTTTAAGCCCGTAAGCAACCTTGGAGCACATTTCGCAACTCCAACTTCAGGGGTCGGCTCAGCGTTACCTAACACTACAGCTTCCACAGCAACGTTGTTTAGTGTCACTTAGGGTGACAGCAATCGAAAATCTTTCGCCACCTCCGGCCGTGACAATCTTTCGGGCATGTAAGGCATGCAGCATCGCATCCCCAGGCAAACCACTCATGCTGTACTCCGGCCCCATTCCGTCTTATTTTGCTTTTGTTGTCCTCTGAATGTCCAACACACTCATGAAAGTTCTCTACCTTTTTCCCGATGTGCAGAGGTGTAAAACACCAATGCTCGACAGTTTTTCCATATTAGCTCCAACTTCATAACAATAATGATGTTTATTCCCACCTTGTGGAGGGCACACCGTCAGGCATGATCATACGTTTACAGTCAGAATAAAGCGTGACTGGTGGATTTAACGGTACCGAAGAGTGCGCGAAAAAGAGGACGATGTCGAAACGGTGAACAATATCTGATGAAATAGTGAAAAGAGGTTCATTTTACAACCTGCAGGGGACGCGCTGTTTGAGGCATGATCGGGCCGTTATGGCCTGAACGTGGTAGGCGAAAACACAACGAAGAGGAGGGTACAACCAACGAGGCATGCCCATTACATGAAAAGTAATTGCAATTGCGGGAACCGAAAAAACTAGGACGATGGGCACGAGGCCCGACTGGTTCAAGAATGGGGCCGGCTGACGAACTAAAATTGAGAACAATTGCTGGCCATGGGTGGCCTTGGGTGGTTGGGTAATTGGCTAGATACACAACAAGCGAAAATAAACGAGATGGAATAATTCGGGCTAGAAGTAATTGGCCAGCAAATGTCAAGAAAATGGCAATAAAATGGCACGTCAAAACACCCATCCAGAAGTTCTAAAACGGTACGCAGAGCTCCACTGCTCTTCGTGTGGAGCTTCACCCCAGCCTTGCTAGTATAGTGAACTTCAGTGTGTGCAGATATGTCTTTCGCCTCATAAGCACTAATTGCGAGATGTGGCTCGCAGGTATCCCTCACTGATTCTGTCGTATTCGCCACATCTACGAACACATTCATTATTCCCTCGCCCACCCGTTGCTTAGTGGTCAGCGGCCGCCGCACAGCCAAAGATGTCTGTGGATAACTTATCCTTCAACTCCTGGAAAGTCATCCATACGGCTTTTCTCGAATCAACCGACTCCGGAGTTCGAATTAGGGATGGCTGATAGTGATGAAGAAAAGCAATAAAAATTGCGCTTACTTACAGTTGGCTACATGAATGTGTCTATGGCCGCAGGCCCGAAATGTACAAAACAGCGTGTTTCGCCTTGGTACATTGGAACACTTTCGTGGCATGGGAAATAGAGCATTGATCAGGAGTTTCGTTTCTGCCACGTAATCTTGAAAGACTGACAAACAAATGTTCAGCGCCAATACATATAATGCTAGAGGAAACACCATCAGCGATCTCGAAATAGCCCGGTGCTTATAAGACTCTCGATGCGCTTTCGAGACGAGCCAGAATATGGTTCGAATAATTTTTCAAGGGTAATTGCTAGTCGGTTGTGACCATACTACCACGTTTCATGACCGAAATGACAGTCAGTTTGCCTGTCTAGAGTGCTGTCCGAATAATACAGAAATTAAAACAATAATGTTCATTCCCAACTTGTAGGTGACATACCATCCGGCGTGCTCATAATGGTACAGTCAGAATAAACCCACGACTGACATCAGTTGGTGGTGATCAGCAGTGCACGGAAGTGGGGCAATCAAGAATGTCGCAGCCCATCGATTTTTGCGCGCTTACATTCCCGTCATGGACGGCAACACTCAAGCTGTAAAAATGGCGCAACTCATCCAGCTTATATGAGAATGCAGGTTCAGTATTCTTTTTTGGATGTTGCGCACCTAGAAAACAAGAAGGCCGGTGCATTGCTCCACTATCGGAGAACTCATCGCACTGTGTCGACCTCGGCCGGAATCCATGATGATCACTCAAAACACATCAGGGCACTTGTTCCAGGAATCAAAGAATCATCCTTATTGAATGAAGAGCAACAATCCGCACCTTTCACAATGGTTGCACCGGCGTACCGTTCGTTATGATATCAACATTCTGCAGGTGATTTTCTTCGAGTTCGTTAAGAATTCGGTCATTTTGAATGCAGTTACTAGACCACCATTTCAGGCCAAAATGGCAGAGTTCATTTACCGCTGTACCAGTCTTGAGTCCAGGTGATCATCTTGTAGCTTTCGCATCAGATTCACTACCACAGTCCCCGCTACCAGCTTACGACCACAGCTTCTCTAGAGATGACGCTCTATGTTTGTACCCAACGGGGTCGATACGGTACTCTCCAACTGCCCGCAGCAAACTGTGCTTCTTAAGTTTCCCTACCTTCCTTTGAAGGCCATATTAGTGCCACATCTATCAACTGGACCTTGCGTATTCCTCCAGCCCCTGGATTCGTTGCAGAATTCCTGCGCGCCTTGTCTTCTTTGGGCTGGCGGCAAAAATCGGTCTGTAGCTAGTATGAGAGAAGGCCACTTCCCATCTATCCTTGGTGTAATTTTTACAAATCAACGGTACATCGGCAACGAAGTTCAGCTCCTCGCCCTGCATTCTTTGGTTTCATTATTAACAGTCCCTGCCTAAACGGTTCCCTATCCCTTCTCCGATTTTCACGACCCCGTGAAATTCGAGAAGTCACAGGACCCGCTGGACCCGCATTATTGATGTGAAACTCGCTTCATATTTCCTTTTAATTCTACACAACTGCTCTGCTTCCAGTGAAATCCTCCAGCCAAAAAAGTGCCTCCTGGAGTCGCTGTCCAGGGACGAAATACAACCTCGTCTACTGGTCCCACCCTATTTCGAGACGTCCAGCAAATAAAAATTTCTCCTGTAAATGATAACTTTTATCCAAATTCCTGGAACGATTCAGAGAACCTGCAAAAGTTTTGTGTTGATAACTTTGTTTACAGAGGTAACCATGAATATGGCCTTTTTAAGAATCCAAGAATCCCGCACACCTCAACGGTCAAACTTGCCTGGGGCTATAGGTCGGCTCTGACCACCCAAAACGGTCTACAATCACGCCAGATAGCAGAGACCCCTATACCCTGCCAAATCCGGATGCTCTTCGGGCCCTGAATTGTTCCTTTTCTATCCCTTGCTCCAGTGGTGACTGTCTTGCAATTAAAAGAAAAATATTTTCAAATCTGTATAGT